TTATTTTCCTTAATAAAAATATAAAGGAAGTTTGCTATTCCTTCGATGCATTTTACCATTAATATAGCTAAAAGAATAAGTAGCAAGTAAACAGAATATTGGGCTCCCACAAATCCAAAAATGCATATAACTGGCAGGCTTAATTGTCAGAATGAACCCAAGTCAAACTTTGTATAAGTGAGAATTAGTATTATGTTAAAAACAATACACACAGGTCAAACTCCATTCACTCAATAAATATTATTGAATAAGTACTATATATACTAGAACATTTTCTAGGCACTGAGGACACGGCAAATGAACAGATAACAATCCTACTCATGAGTGAAGTGAACACATTAACAATAAACTACATAGGCAAAATATAGAGTATTAAAGAAGAAAAACTAAAGCAGAGAGATCAAATTTTGGTGTGTTATAGTGAAACGGGTTGTTGAAATACTAGTCAGGATGGGCAAGAAAGGACTTGCTGGGAAAGTGACTTTTAAGCCACTGAAGGGAAAACTGAAGGGGAAAAAAAAAAGGAAAAAGCAAGCCATGGGGTATCTGAGGGAAAGCATTCCAGGTAGAGCCGACAACAAGTACAGAAGTATGCCCCAATGTTCAAAAAATAGTGAGAAATTCAATGTGGCTGGACAGAATGAAAGGGGTAGAAAATAGTTCAAATCAGTGAGAGAGAGAAGGAGAGACCTGAGAGGAACATATCATACAGGCCTTGTAGCGTTATTAGGAAGAGTTTTGGCATGTACTTTGAGTGAAATGGGTTTTGAGCAGAGGAAGGACACAATCTGACTTATGTTTCAGTAGCTCCAATGTGTTTAGAATTAATGGAAACCGAGAAAAATGAAAGAAAAAACAAAGAAACCAGAAGACCAGTTAGTTACCTATTACACCAACATATCAGCACCACGCTCTAACCAACTGAGCTAACCGGCCACTTCCTATTACACCAACATAGACAGCAGTATCTTAGTCATGGAAGATGTATTTGGCTTCTGGATATATTTGAAGGAAGACATGACAAGATTTGCTGACAGATTAGATGTGATGTGTACGAAAAAGAAAAAGAAAAAGACAGGACTCAAAGATGATAACCAAGTTATTTTTTTAGCAGAGCAACTCATATGTTGGGAGCCATTCTGAACTCACTAGTTGAGAATACTCCTTGTGAGGTTAAGGCAAGTTTGCATGCTCTCTTGCCATCAGATGAGAATCAATATCCACCCCTACTCAATTATTTCTGCTTGAGCACTGACCCCCAAAGCACCTTGTTGATTGGCATCTGGGAGTGACTTATTCTGGCCCTGGTATGATGATTGCACCTTGTGAAGGAATTTGTTGTAGCTTGGAAAAACGTTGATGCTTAGTAATCTGGAAATAGATCAGGACTGAGTTATCAATGACACAGAAAGGTCAGCTATTGCCTTCAGGTTTACATTAATAAAATAATAACTTTGGTACAGACTGATGTACTATTCCTGGGCATGGATGACGTTATAGGAACTATAAGGCTTGTGGCTAATGTTTAGATGTTTTCTTTTCTGGTTATGGGAGCAGACATTGTGAGGATCCTGTTTTTCTTAACACTTCCCATTAAGCGATAAACAGGCTATGAACCTCTGCTCACAAAGAACTAACTTTTGCCTTTACTATGCTAAAATCATTATCCTGTTTGTATTTGAATGCTAAAGATGCTTTCCTTCCTCATATAAGCATGAGTACCCTTATCTAAATTATACTCATAAGGTTATGCATATCAATGTTCTGGAAAGTTTTTACTGATCAAAGAATTTATCATCAGAATGCCAGTTATGTGCTATCCCCCAAAAACGTAATCATAAAATAAAGTTGAGTCTCAGACAGTGAGGAGATGCCTGCCTAGTGACCAGAAAGAATCTCAGGGCTCTGTCACCGACAACATCCATCCTTCAGGGACCCCTGGACTTGGACTCCGGCACTTAAGCAACTGTTATTAACTCACTTAGGAAAGACATGGAAGGCAGGTATTAAGAAAGAATATCAGTAGTTCAATTTTGGACATGTTAAGTTTGCAATACCCAACAGCATTCCAAAAAGAGATATCAAGTAGGCAGTTTGATACATGGGTCTGGAATTATGAAGAGAGATCTGGGATGAAGATATAAACTTTAGGATCATTAGAATACACAAGATTGTAAAAGTCACGAGAAACAAGATCAAAGACAGATTCCTAGAAGACATCAATGGGTAAGACACAGGAATGAGGAGAAACAAGCAAATCAGGCTGAGGTGTACAGACTAGAAAGGCAGCAGGAAAATCAGGTTATATCACTAATAAATGAAAATTTATTGATATCCTAAAAGCTAAATATTTAGGAGACAAAATCAGGGAGGAGAGAGTTTTCCATTGGGTCAAATATTGCTGAAAGAATAAGAAAAATGAGATGTATGAAATTATGTTTAGATTTATTAAAGTGAAAATTAATGGTAACTTTGATTACCAATTGATTACTCCAGAAAAACAATTCTGGAGTAGTGAGAGGGAAAGTTACTACAATGAATTCAAGTGTGGATGGGAGGGAAATCAGGATCAAAGAGTGTAGATGATTCTTTTAAGGATATCATAGCTAAGTGGAATGATCACAGTTGATCTACTTTTCTAGTATTGCTATAATTTTCAATTGTTACATAATGATTATGTAGTATTTTTGTAATATTTTGAAGTTTTAAATTAACATGTAACACTAAATAGATTTTTTCAATGCCAGACCAAGGTACTAAATAACTCAAAATTATACAATAAGATTCCTTAAAATTTTTCTAGATATTTAATATTATATAAACTGATTACCATTTTTCTCATGCTTAGAAAGACCACAGAAAAACTAAGTTTCAAGGCAGTATTTCGTGCTTGATAAAAATTATCTCACTCTAAGGGCACCTGGGTGGCCTAGTCAGTTAAGCATCTGACTTCTGATTTCGGCTCAGGTCATAATCTCTAGGTTCATGAGATCAAGCCCTGCATTGGGTTCTGCACTGACAGCAGAGAGCCTGCTTGGGATTCTTTCTCTCCCACTCTCTCTGCCCCTCCCCCTTTCATGTGTACATGCTCTCTCTCTTTCTCAAAATAAATAAACATTTTAAAAAGTCACCTAACTCTAGGATATTTTGTACTATCCAAAATAGTCATATTAAAATGTTATAAATAGGGGCACCTGGGTGGCTCAGTTGGTTAAGCATCCGACTTCAGCTCAGGTCATGATCTCACAGATCATGGGTTCAAGCCCTGTGTCGGGCTCTGTGCTGACTGCCAGATTAGAGCCTGGAGCCTGTTTCAGATTCTGTCTCCCTCTCTCTCTGACCCTCCCCTGCTTACGCTGTCACGCTGTCTCTCTCTCTCAGAAATAAATAAAACATTTTTAAAAAATAAAAATAAAATAAAATTTTATAAACAGAAGTAAAAGCGGGTGGGGATGCAGATAATTTTCCTACTTTGTAAACTGAATTTTCATAAATTATATAATATGAAGGCACTGTTGAAAATTTGCTGTGGTGCATGTTGAAATATATTCTCTTTAAAAAGGAAGGATAATGGCATGCAAGCAAAGTACCTTTGTAAAAATGATTCATTGCATTAGCAGCATCTTGGTTTATAGCACAGGGTCATTAAATGTTTATACAGAATATGAGACAAGTTGCCATGTGAAATGTCTTGGCAATATTCAGATTAATTTGAGAGTCCAACATTTGAGCACTCATGCACTGGGAACCAAAACCAAAAATCTAATAACTAGCAATTTTGTTGGTAAGATACTGCCAGTGTACTAGGTAACTTCCTTTTGCAATTCAGTAGATATTAAAATGATTCTAACAAAATTTGCATGAGACATGATATCAAACCAAATGCTTTAAATATATTTTGTTAAACCATCAGTACACTATAGACCTAAATTTTGTAAAATGGTCATATACTACATTATTTTATAGATGTGAAAATTTACTTCCTTAATAATGGATATTTAGCATGTCTCCAGGGTGCTTAGGTGGCTCAGTCTGGTGAGCATCCAACTCCTGATATTGGCTCAGGTTGTGATCTCATGGTCGTGGGATCGAGCCCTGTGTTGGCCTCTGCACTGTTAGCATGGAGTCTGCTTGGATTCTCTCTCTCCCTTTCTGTCTCTGCCCTTCTCCAGTGGTTGGACTCACAAGTGCACACACTCTCTGTCTCTCTCTCAAAATAAGTAAATAAACATTTAGACTATCTCCAATTCTTTGATATGGGAATGCTATAATAAATATTCTTAACATACATATGTAATATATTTATATAAGTAACCTTAACATATCTGTCCTATTTTATATATATAATAATATATAATCAATGTCCTTAGAATGTGTGTGTGTGTGTGTGTGTTTACAGAAGTCATGTTTTCTGTAAAACATGAAGGATCCAGTCCTGGCAATGAAGCCATTGGAATAAAGGGATGACATACCTGAAAAAAGTATTTTAATGTTTTATTACTTATTTTTGAGAGTGAGATAGAGCACAAGCAGGGAAGGGGCAGAGAGACAGGGAGACACAGAATCTGAAGCAGGCTCCAGGCTCTGAGCTGTCAGCAAGGAGCCTGATGTGAGGCCCAAACTCACAAACTGCGAGATCATGACCTGAGCCAAAGTTGGGCGCTTAACTGACTGAGCCAACCAGGCACCCTGACATCTCTGAAATTTTGAAACACACTGCTCAATCACTCTTCAGAAAGAATTTACCAATTTCATCTAGCCACAGTGTAAAAGGATGTCATTTCCCTCACATTTGCTAACTTCGGTTATTTTTTTAAATAAAATATTTATGACTATGACTACAAACAAATGGTATCTCATTTGCATCTTTAGCATGTAGGGTAGAATACACTAAAAATATAAAATCCGTTCATCATGAACATGAGCTCAAAGTACAAAATTTTGTTTCATAAGAAAATAACAATTACCCCCACACTAATTAAATATTGCTATAGGCTTACCTATTAGAATCTTCATTTTCTATAATGGGAAACTGATGTCTAACAGTTTTTCCATTCTTTCTCTGTTGAGTGAATCCAGAAGCTGCAGCATCGTTTTCTGATACTTCCATTTCACTACTTCTGTGCTGCTTCTTTTCTTCTTCAACCTTTAATGAAAATTTGATACTAAGGATAACTGTTACTTTATTCAATAAAAAGAAGTTTTTCATTAATTTTATCAGTTGACACTTAGTTTGTCATAATTTTAACTGATAAAAATATTTTGTGTTTCAGCAAAGGAAACAATACACCAAACTAATAGGCAACCAACGGAATGGGAAAAGATAGTTGCAAATGACGTATCAGATAAAGGGTTAATATCCAAAATCTATAAGGAATTCACCAAACACCACACCCGAAAAACAAATAATCCAGTGAAGAAATGGGCAGAAGATATGAACAGACACTTCTCCAAAGAGGACATCCAGATGGCCAACAGACACATGAAACGATGCTCAGCATCCCTCCTCATCAGGGAAATACAAATCAAAACCACCCTGAGATACCACCTCACGCCAGTCAGAGTGGCTTAAATGAGCAAATCAGAGTACTCTAGATGCTGGCGAGGATGTGGAGAAATGGGCATCCTCCTACACTGTTGGTGGGAATGGAAACTGGTACAGCCCCTCTGGAAAACAGTGTGGAGGTTCCTCAAAAAGAACTCCCCTATGACCCAGCAATGGCACTGCTAGGAATCTACCCAAGGGATAAAGGAGTACTGATGCATAGGAGCATACGTACCCCAGTGTTCATAGCAGCAATCTCAACAACAGCCAAAACATGGGAAGAGCCTAAGTGTCCATCAACGGACGAATGGATCAAGAAGATGTGGTTTATCTACACAATGGAATACTACATGGCAATGAGAAAGAATGAAATCTGGCCATGTGTAGCAACATGAATGGACCCTGAGGGTGTCATGCTGAGCGAAATAAGTCAGGCAGAGAAGGACAGAAGGTAACAAACAGTTACCATATGTTTGCACGTATAGGAGGATTAGGAGGAACTTAACAGAGGACTGTGGGGGAGAAGAAGGGGGGAAAATAGTGGGGAAGGGGGAGGGAGGCAAACCATGAGAGACTCTTGAATGCTGAGAACTGAGGGCTGATGGGGGTCAGGGGGAGGGGAAGAGGGGTGATGAGCATGGAGGAGGGCACTTGTGGGGATGAGCACTGGGTGTTATGTGGAAACCAACTTGACAATAAACTATTAAAAAATAAATAAAATAAAACATTAAAAAATATTTTGTGTTTACTTTATCATTACAAGTAATTGTAATTTTTTGTAAAGTCTGCTTCATTTCAAAAGAAGAATTTTCCAAAATTTCTAAAAGGGCTTTCTTAATTTTGTACTCTTATTCATATCCATGCCTTGCTACCTAACATTCCCCACCCCACCCCCTACTCCATCTGACCAAGAGATACAAAGAAATAAAAAGACAAAGGCAAAATTTGTCCTTTTCTGACTTTACCACTGGGGTTTTACATAACAGTCAGATTTAATTAAAAGATGTGACATTGTGGTGCTCCAGTGACAAATAGGAAGCTTTCCTCTTTCCGCACTCAGCTATTCTTTCCCTAACTGCCTTTTACAATTATTTTTCATATGGATCCTAAGGTTATCAAAAAAAAAGTGACAGTGTTCACTAAAATTGATGAACCAGTTTGCCACAACACAAAAGAAACAGAGTGAAACGAATGTTTGGCTGGAATTCTGGGAAACCAGTAATGCTCTCCAAATTGCACATTCAATAAGCATAAAATTTTATGGGAGAGCTATAAAAGTAATTATCAACTTTAATCCTATTTCTACTGATAATGGAAGTAAACTAAAAAAGGGTTAAATGATTTGTCCAAAGTTCCTAAAAAGTGGTATTACCTAGCATTTTATGGTACCAAAAGAGATGATACAATTCTTTAATGCTGACTCAGATAAATGACCACAATTTCATTAAATTAATCAGATACATTAAGAATGTGACTTTGGCACAATAAGTTAATACCTTAATAGGAGGCGAAAAGATTAGCTACTTTTTCTTTTAAAGGAGGATATCTCTAGATTTTGTCTATTTTTAAAACCCAGCACACATCAAAATTCAGTTTAATCCCTTGGGAGTTAAATACTGAAGGTTTCCTGAAGGTTTATGCTACCTATATGGTAAAAATCATACATGTCAAAATATATCATACTTTATTAAACATAATGTGAAGGTCTGACTCAACAGAAACATCTGAGAATGATAAAAATGTGGTGATAATATAAATATTTGTTATCAAAAATACCTCAAAATGGTCATGTTGAAATTCTAAGTTCCAAGGTTTTAAGTAAGGTAAGACTGCACATACAGAAGCAATAAATAGATTGGGAATATTTGTTTATATACCTTCACTTAGTTATTGCTTCTTTCCCATTTTACTGTTTATGGAAATGCAATTTATATTTAAGCCAATAGATTTAAAAAAACTCTATAGATTATTATTTTTTAAGCAATTTATTTACAATTATTCTAGTTCATGAGATCACAATGTACTTACACAGCTAAATTAGTTTCCTAGTTCATATGCTACTTGGAAGACTGACAGAGAAACTCTAAGAAAAACAAATCATTAAGAATGCTTTCCTGAACTCCTATTTTTTAGAAAGCAGAAATAATCTATTTCCAGACACAATTACATATGTAGACATTCCCATTTTATACACACACCTTTTCTCATATGTGGAAAATTAGAATGGATCCGATAATTGCGGAAGAGAAAAAAACAAGAATATCAGCAAAGTGAACCTCTACCTTTTTTTGAAGTTGAACTTTCTCTTTTTCCAAATCCAGGAACTCTTCTTGTAACATGCCTATCTCATTCCTAAACCTTTGCATATCTTGATGTAATTCTTCACTGAGATATATGTTAAATGCCTAGAAACTGGCATTTTTCTAATTTAGGCTCCATACTATTATAGTTACTAGTACTTCATTATCTGCATATTATGGCTTCTGGAACAAGTCCTGTATTGCTTTTGTTTCCTTGTAAATGTTTGTAACAGCAGAAATATCATGACTTTTTGTCTGAATCTTGTGTTTCATCTGATTGGAGAGGGCATGCCACAAATCAAAAAGGCTCTCTGAATTAACTAGACTGGGGTGTATGTCCTATGTCTAATTTATAATCAATGGTATTTTGGTTCATAGTTTTGCCATTTGCATGTCAAACTCTTCCTTCACTTCAAATGTAACTCGCAGGTTCCTTACATTTTTATTTTCTGTATCATTATAAAAATCCTCATTTTTGTTAGTGATTTATTTTCATTTAAAGAGAGCTTATAAGATGACTGGCAAGCATATTCCAAGGACCCAGATATGAATGAGAGAGAATGACATTTTGAAGACTAGGCTCTTTTTGTTCAGGAAGTGCCTGAAATACTGCAGAGACAGACAATCCAAATGCATCTTTTTCCTCACAAGCGAGTATATTATTTGTCAAGTTAGAGGTATTTCCTTGAAGTTTGTGCCTTCATTAGAGTTAGCATGTAGTAGTTCTTCCTTGGAATTAACAGCAATTTTGTATTTTTTACAAATTTTACCAAACTTCTGCTTTAACTCACTGGTGATGAGTTTTAAGTTGTTTTTCAACTCTAATTTGCCTTGTTTGATCCATATTTCCTAATACTTTTGCATAGAAGGAAGTCTTGAATATACAGATATAGCATCCTATCACATTCCTTATTCATTTCTGGTTCTTGAGTCATTTTTTGCAGAGGCAAAAGTGGAAAGTTAATTTCTTTGGTCTGATTTTCAGATGTCTTTTCTGCCAGGATACATGTTTGTAAAATAACTGTATCCTTAAGTAATCAAGTATAGACAAATAAATTAGAAAATAATTAAAATTTAATGCTTAAACTTTTTTTTTTTAAATGTTTTATTTATTTCTAGGAGAGAGAGAGAGAGAGAGACAGCATGAGCAGGGGAGGGTCAGAGAGAGAGGGAGTGACAGACTCTGAAACAGGCTGCCAGACTGAGTTGGCAGTCAGCACAGAGCCCGACGCGGGGCTCAAACCCACGAGCTTCGAGATCATGACCTAAGCGAAAGTTGGACGCTTAACCGACTAAGCCACCCAGGCAACCCATGAACTCTGAGCTCCATCTCTTCAATTAATGCAGAACTTCTGCCTGGGCTCCTCCCTGTCATCACCTTAAAACTCTCCCCACACAACAACTTGAAATAAGAGNAACTAAGCCACCCAGGCGCCCCTAATGCTTAAACTTCTTAATCTATGTTTAGCTGTTCCCTAGTCACTGAACTGTAACTTCCTATAAGAAGTGAAAAATAACTTGCCTTAGCCAAAGACAAGAAAAACATGAACTCATAAACTTAATTTTGTCAATTTCTTTCAACTAAACAATTCATTACATGTTAAATATGCCAAAAAATAAATTAGATGATTTTTAATGTTACAAACTTTAAAAACATTTTACATTATCACCCTTAAATAATGAGCCCTAAGTACTTCTGAGTATTTTTTTAAAAGATTAATAACTAGAGAATAGGTAAACTTTATTAGTAGCCAAAATCAATGAATATCAGCGAGAAAGAAAAGTAAATTCAAATGATATATTATAATGGTGTTGGACATCAATATAGATTATCTATTTGTACCCAGCTCTAATATATTGTAATGTCCACTGAGAGTGGATAAGAAAAATATTAATAATACTTACTGATTTCCTATGCTGAAATGAAATAACTTAAAAAGCTATTGTGTATAACCCAACTACAAAAGTCCCATCCTGTAAGGTGTGATTCTACCATAGGCAGTTGTGTTTCTTTTATGTCCCCACTTTCTGAAGTCAAGTACAAAGAGACCAAAGTTGGAATAAATCTTTAATCTTGGCATTAGTGACTGGCAATAAGAAACTGCACACTTTGAACCAGTGAAAATAATTACTCCTTCTACATGAATCTCAGTCAGTGGCCATCATTGTTCTATTGCTCATAATTTCTACTGTTTAAACATGTGACATATGATTCAATATTTGATGTTACCTTCTTTATCAGGTAAGGAAGTTACAATAATGGGAGAAGCAAACAAAATTCAGGAATTTTTTTTTGCCTAAATTCCAAGGATAAAGTTTAGCTATAAGTTACTATAAATTCTAACAATATTTTAAGTTTTGTAACTTGTAAAATTTTATAAAAACTAAATACTACATTATAATCTATTGACTTTAAAATGCTTATTCAACAGATAGTTTCACTTGAACTATGTCACATTATTAAAGCAGGAAAACAATATAAAATCGGAAATTTAAAGTTTTACGTACCTGTGGGTGGTTATTTTCACTTCCATCAGGCCTTTCTTGCTCTTCCTCTGATGTCATTTCTAACTGTAGGTCTGTTGACAAATCTATATATTTAATTAAAATGGATGACTTAGAATGGTTAGATAGAAGCGATAACCTTCATAAAAATAGAAAATAACATTTTATCAATTGAGAGCTTAAACTAATCTTTACCTGAATATTTACTTCCTTAAGAAATACTTATAATTATCTAAAACTTCACAACAAACCATTTGGGAAATACTAGATGTCACCAGGTTAAATGCATACAAACATCTCAAAGATTTATTCACAAATTCACCCACCTAACATCAATGAACAAAACAATCAGAAACAAAATTTTAAAATACAGTAGAAATGTATAAAGTTACAACAGACTTGTAACAGTACCTCTTTAATAACACGCAAGATTCAACTACAGCAATATTCATGGTTTCCAAAATTACTATTACTTTTTAGTCTTTTATCAGTGTATACCCTTTCTATAGGTGTATGTTCCTGATAAGTAAATGTTCCTGAAATGTTTTCCTCTATTTGACAATTTTCTTCTCATCTTTTAGGACTCACTGCTTGCTATGTAGAGTCGTCCTTGATTATGGCTATCCTTCCCCCAAGTAAATAGGTGTCTTTTTCTCTGGGGCTACCTTAGTACTCTATAGATTTTTCTGGTGTATCTTCATCATCTGAAGTGTGAAGTGTTTCTTTACAGATCTTCTACTTCTGCTCCTAGACTGTATGAGATAATCCCTTAAATCATCTTTGTGTAAACAGCCTTTATTTATTTTACGCAGTGATTAAAGTTTCCGCTAAGTAATAGGCACCGAGGTTTAGAGAAGTATGTAGATATAAGGTGTCAGGAATGGTTTTCCTAGAGAGACTGCCTGAGCTACAACTGCAACAGTGAGGTCAGTCAGATTCAAAGGTGTCAGAGGGCAGAAAATGGGGAGAGCATGCAAGATCTTAGCAAGACAGGGAGAGAAGCACACAACAGTGTAAATATTTGTCCAAGATACAGGGATCAAAGAGGAAGACATCACCAGCAGTTCAAAAGGGCAGACAGTAGAAAGGTCTAAAGATGGAGAGTTAGGCAGAAGTCAAGATTATGAAACCCTTATATGTAATTTTAAGATGCCGGGACATAATTATGTTTTCAACAGTGGTTCAGGGTTCTATTTGCATTTGAGACAGATCACTCTAAATGCTGTGGGGAGGGATGAATTTGAATGGCATAGTAATAAGAGATGGGAGATGAATTAGAAGGCAGTAATACAAAATAAAGATGACACACATCAGAATGGTTCCAGAAATACTCAGGATATAAAATGATCAGGGCCCAGCACAGACTCAGTCTGTACTAAATGAATAAACACACAATCTTGGGTCCCTGGAGAACTAACTCTGTTCACTACTTTATAAAAAGGCATCAAGTGAGAAATGATCTACATGGACTGTTTTAAATCACTTGAATTTATTTTGTAATTTTTCTATTTCATATCCTTCTATGTTACACAAGCTTGCATAGGTGTTTTGTATCAGGAGTCCTGCCTCTGGGATCTACCCACCTCATTAAGAAGTAACAGCAAACAAGTCACTTGTATAGGTAAATAACTTTGGATTTATAGCCTATACTCGCTACTCTAGGAGATAGTTGAAAATCTTCTGGGAATACAATGTTAATTTTAGAAATAAAGAAAAGAACAGAAAACTACAGAGGTGGAAAAAAATACTGTACGATTTTTTAGTACAGACCTGATCAAATGACTGAAAAGGGGCACTGAATTAACTGGTACATAAAGTAGAACACACATTAGATGTGGTTAATCAATAGACTATCTTAGTAGAATTAAAACTGATTTCCCATATACTATTTTTAAAAGATACGGCACTCTTTAAAACAAATATTCCTTTATTCATTAAAAATAATAAAAACAAAGTGAAAGACTATGTGTACATAACTGAAAAGATGAAACTATGTAATAAATTCTCAATGATTCACATTGAGAAAGCCAACTCTAACATAAAGTCATAGAAAATATAGGAAATATTTTAATATTTTGTGTGGGAAGGTGCTTTTTTAGCTATGGTGATTATAGTATTACCAGTATTTGTGAATTTAGAGCTATAAAAATAGAGCTAAGAAACTATGTTTTGAGTAGTCAATCTTTAGATCTCTAGTTTTCCCAACTAGTCCCAAAGTTCTAAATATAATCCTGCTGCCCATTCTCCAGGGTACACTAAATATTAGCCTAAAAGAAATTACTTTCTTTTCATACTCTTTGTTATTTGTATGATGCTTTAGTCGAGGAAGAATGCAAATGTCTTGCTAAAAATAGTCTGGTTGTAGTTTACAAAAAGGGAATAACACAAAATAAAATTTTACACAAAATTATTTTTGAAAAATCAGAACTATGGTGAAGCTACAAAGAAGTTGAATTCTCTATGCTTCATTACCTTCTTTGCTCTCTCTGTTTTCTGGTAACTGTGACTCACACAGATCATGGACTTTCCAATTCTCTAACAGAAGCAGAGTTCCGATATTAATCTTTTCTTTAGACGCTGACTGATTTTCAGTCACTGGTTGTGATACAGGCAGACATTTATCATTAACCGTCAAATCCTCAATTGTTTGAGAATTCTCATTAGCGAGGGTCAAATTTGTAGAAGCCCAAATGGAAAAATCTGAAAACAAAGTTTCATTTATTAGAATGTAAATAATAATACATACTTGACTAATCTGTAGATATTCGTTTGTCAGAGAAACAGTCCCATATCCTCCTCTTCCCCCAAATACACTACTACTCCTTCAGAGCTTATTGTATTTTACATGTCCTATATTTGACATTCATATAAATTTAGTCTCTCATTTTCTTTTATATTCTTTATTATTATATACTTTGATTCATTCAAGCAGCTCTATTATATATCCTGCATTACATAAAATATTAGTAATTAAGATTGCTCAAGGTACGAATTTTTTACTAACAAAGTCTTTGTCTAACCATTTATTTTACATTTAAATATGCATTGTGTGTTCTAAAGACATGGGTTTAAAAAAACGACTTTTAAAGAATGGTACTACTTTAATCACAATGAGATGGTCTTTCCTCAATGTACCAATATCATAAGAATTCAATTTTCAAGTCTTGGATAAACATCATAAAATTTTATGGAAATAAAAGCCTTCAGTGACATAATTGTTGCCATGTAAAAACAGGGTAAGTCTCAGTCTACACTAGATCCAAAAAAATACAGTGCCATAAGACAGAAAATGAATATGTAACAAAAATATTTTACTTTTTTTAAAAAAACAAGATTGTCTAACTTAAACCTCTTAAGACAAGTGAAAGAAAAAAAATGTAGAAGTGGAACTTTTAAATGTTCATTTCATCACAAGGGCCTCTTTATGACTTCACATCCATGAACCATGTATATATGGCTTAAAACAGTTCTCCAGTGTCATCTGAAAATCCCTAGAGTCCCAAGATCCATCCATTCAGGTGGTCCAAGAGTCAACACTATTTTCACAATAATACTAAATGTCATTTGATATTTTCATTCTCATTTTCATATTAAGTGTACAGTAGAGTATTCTAAAGATATGATATATAATAGTATCACAACTGTGGGTCATAGCTCTAATGGCTAACAGAATGTATATCTGTATTTTACATGTTTCGGCTTTCATTTCTCATACTGTAAATATCAACAGATGCAACCCACTTACACAGAAGTTCTTTGGAATTCCCAATAAATTTTAAATGGTATAAAAGGACCATAAAGCAAAAAAGTTTCAGAATTACTGTTTTAAAAGGATTGTGTCTATTAAATATAAAAAAATAATTACTTCCTCCATTTTTAATAATCAAAGACACCACACACACACACACACACACACACACACACAGACTGCTAAGCAGAACATGTTTGGCCTAAGATGCTATTTAGATAACATGAAATCAAGTTAAAACACAATGGACATGTTAGCAGGTGAAGCTCTACTCTAGGTAAATGTCAGAATTCAAATAAGCATTTTGAACACTGGAAAAATTTAAAGTCTAATAATTAATCTCTGGGAATCTCTAAGAAGTAAAGGAATTCCAAAATGGAAACTTAAGGATTTCAAAATAAAACAAGAAACATGAGCTAAAGCTTACATTTTTAAAATCTCTTTTTCTTATGCTTATAAATACCTTTTGTTCAAACATGGATATCAACAATGACATCTACTTTATTTATGTCAAATCGTTCAAATAATTTGCACCAAAAAAAATTAGGAACAAGAAGACTGTGAGCATTTCAAATATTTTAGTGTACTTCTTTTCACTGTTAAATTTGTATCATAAAATTTACCTGAGCTGGATATCTGTATAGCCCCCTTTCCTACTGTTTTATCAGGAACAGAATCTTCCACTTCAACGGTAGGCTGAATGGGCATTGAAACAGTACGATTAAGACATGCACATTTCATGCAATCTGTAGTTAAAAATTAAGGATAAAAATATAAAAGTTTTACCTTCAAGTCAGGATATTTTTCAGGAGGATCTAAAAAGCAAAAAGGATGTAAGTCAATTATATGTAAATATGAAAGCCAACTATACATTCATGCAGTTAGTACTGAGCTGAATACTCATGCTTTGCTTTGAAAATGATTACATTAGGTTTTGGTGTTTTATTTCTTTGGGGACAGGAAGGTGGGTTAAGACAGGGACAAGACAGAAATATGAACCCATTATAAATATTGAAGAAAAAATAAGAATACAGTCTCCACAGAACATGCAGTTAGGATTTCAAAAGTAAGATTCTGTCTCAAATGGCTAACTAAAATGGAAAAGTGCACATATACCAATGTGAACATGCTGATTGATGGTAAGAAAAGTGATCTTTACTTAGAGGAACAATTCATGACCCTGAGAGGATAAATGTGAAAGCCAATGGCAGAATGCAACAGCATACCCTTAATAGAGTAGAGCAGAATCATTTACGCCACTATCCTACAAGTATTTATCATGTTTTTCAATTTGTCCTATAATTTAGTCAGTACACAGTTGTAATGACAGTTCAGTTGAATGCATAATTTCTTTTTCATCAGAGAAAGGGTACTGAATTGACCAGCTTAGATATACACTTGTAGAATAATAGTTAATAAAAGTATTCATTTTTGTCCATACCCAGGTGGGCTACTGGTATGCCTACATTTCTTGTATCCTCTAGTTTAGCCATCTTAAAGTTTCTTGATCCATTCATGCAAGAAGGTATATAAAACACATCTAAGAAATAATGTACAATAAGCTTTCAATATAGAAATATGATTGCCAAAAAGGGAAAAATAAATTTAATTGACACAAAGATTTTTAGATACCAAAAATCTTTTCTATTTCAAAATCACTGTCATATTTACTGAAAATAACCATTTTAGCATTTAGGAAATGAACCCTGTAATTTCTTTTGTTCCCAAAATTAGTTTGATTTGGTAGATCACAACAGTCTTTAAAAGGCTTTTATGAAATAGCTATCCTACCATGGGGCACATAGGGGACTCTGTCGATTAAGCATCCAACTTCAGCTCAGGTCAAGATCTCATGGTTTGTGGGTTCGAGCCCCACAGTGGGCTCTGTACTGACAGCTGAGCTTGGAGCCTGCTTCAGATTCTGAGTCTCCTTCTTTCTCTGCCCCTATTGCTCACTCTCTCTCTCTGTCTCTCAAAAATAAATAATACATTTTTTTTTAAAGCCAATGTTTCCATATTCAAATTCATCTCATTTGAATAATGAATACCAATGCAACATACATCTTTGATGCCTGATAGATCTGAGGAGGATAAATGAGTAGCTAGGTTTTACCTCAATTCTATCACTCCACCTGCTTTTAGTATTCTTTGGAGTAGCTGTGGCCTATTCTTCTGTTTTAGGGCACATATACACCAGCCGTCTAAAATAAATTCTCTCGAGTTTCCTCATCAACTCCAAAATGCCCTGGCTAACACAGTAGGCTTTCCTCTCTCTTTCCTTCACTATTCCTCCTTTTAAAAAGTAATTTCTGGATCTATGGTCTTGATTGTTCTGTTCTTAGATTCTTTTTATAGATTGTTCTGTTCTTAGATTCTTTTTATAGATTATCTCCACCACAGCTTTCCTCTTTGTTTAGCAGTAGTATCTTATATCTATACACTCTATTTTTACATCTCCTTGCTCCCCTTTGATTATAAACATGCTCAGAAATAAGAACACAGTAATACTTTTCCTTGATCCTGTTAGGTCTTCAACTATCCAATGGCTCTTCAGATTTCTCTACAGGAGGGGCGCCTGGGTGGCTTAGTCGGTTAAGCGTCTGACTTTTGCCTAGGTCATGATCTCGCGGTTCGTGGGTTCGAGCCCCGCGTTGGGCTCTGTGCTGACTGCCAGCTCAGAGCCTGGAGCCTATTTCAGAGTCTGTGTCTCCCTCTCTCTCTGACCCTCCCCTGCTCATGCTGTCTCTCTCTCTCTCTCCTAGAAATAAAAAAAAAACCCAACAAAACAAAAAAAAAACAAAAAACACAGATTTCTCTACAGGAAAGTCTACACCCTCGCTACTGAGATCATGACTTAAGGATCACCAACATTCGTCTACCATCAACCTGAGAGGTTGTCAGGATCCAGAATCCCAGACCTGCTGCTCACAAGGTACATTTTTAACAAGGTACTCAAAGGATTCATTTGCTAAACTTTGAGAAATTCTGGCCCATACTGAGTCTGCTGCCACATTCCTTTACCTTACCTTAGCCTTCTGGAACCTAGCCTCAAGTGCGTCCCTATCAATTACCCAAAAATGAAAATGTATTAAAAGCCATAAGCTTTCTAATGGACTTTTTGTCAGAGCTATAGCTTCCTTGGTGTCCCCCTAACTGACCCTGCTCTCCTCTTCCTTCCAATTCTCTTTTGCATTAAATGATACTCTCTTATGAACTACTTCCATTTTACATAACGTTAAGGCATATACATTTATAGCAGACTACAAATGCTTGTGTTCATCCCTGGTAGACAGGACGTAACTCTGAATAATCAGCTATGTCAATCCTTAATGTCTTCGCAACAGTGAGGAAAACAGTAAGAGTGGGAAAATTTTGATAAGCTACTCTGAGAAGTTACGGCACCAGAAGTTCACGACATATTATTTCTGCATTTCAAATAGTCTGCTCTTTCTTTTAAATAACTATTTTATTTTATCACCTTCCACAATAAACACTATAAACACCTGCCTGCTTTCCTTCATTTACTCCCTGTACTCTCCCCCTTTCTCATCATTCCCTCTTTTCCTCTTTCCTTCTTATTTCCTGAGGTTCCTTAGGTCTTAGAGTATCTTTAAGTGGAACTAGTAATTTAGCTCCGTTAGTGGCACTCTCAGTTTAATGTGTTGCTGATACCAGATAAGATATACAACTTTTCTCATTTTCACATCTCTTTCTCCTTTCCTATGCATTGAATATGTGATTTTTTTTGGATATTAGAATATATCAGTATTCCTGTTTTAAATCAACATTCTGTCAAATGACCTTTTAATAAAATATAGTTCTTACCTTCTACTTGTCCATTTAATATACTTTGCTCTTTCTGATATGTGGCTCCAGATAAATGAACAACATTTTTGTTTGCATTTTCAGAGATACTCTGTTAAAATTAGCATCAATAATGAGTTGCATAACAAATTCCTAATCCTTTTCTAAGAAAATATCTGAATTTCTGATTTTAATAGCAATCAGACTTACAAATAAGAAAAATGTATTGAAAACCAAAACACTTAAATAGAAAACCTCATATATTCTCTCCTGATTAAGTATACCTTTTAATGTTCATTTGGTCATTGACTCTGTAAACTGAACATGGAAGGCCAGAAGAAATACTTTCATAGAAAGAAGACTGACTTATATGCACATTTCAAAAAAGAACTAGCAAAACACCTTACTTTACATCCCTGGCCAAAATAAAAGTCCATTTAAAATATGTATTTAAACAAATTCTTTAAAAGTATACTTGCTATAAATTTAAACTGCTTCTAGTAGAATGGCAGAATTTTTTTTTTTAGTGTTATTGATAGCTCGCACACGATGAGATAAGAAACCCTGGAGTATAGGATGTTGAGTACAAACAAAACCCTGTTGTAGCTGCTGCTTCATTTAGGTAAACAAAGGCTTGAAATTTTTATTGATGAAAAAATGGTTGATCAAATGGCAAAGTAGTAAGAAAAACTTTTCTTAATATTATGTTTAAATAATAGCAAATCAATTTTAGATCTAGGCATGAAACTCTTAAAAAAGTATAGGAAGGTTCCATAAGACAAGAATAAGAACATTTATTTATTAACCACCTAAAATGTGCCAAGCATTTATTTTAGTATGCACATTTTCTTTTCTATACACAACAATAATGATTATGATGATGGAGTGGGTCTTCCTACGTCTTAGTCCTTCCAAGACATTAAAGTAAAATGATGATCACATCTGTGATCCATAATTCTCTCTGTTCAGAATGTCCTTCTCCAAGATCTTCACATGACTGGTCCTTCTCATCTTTCACTGGGAAGCTTTTGCCACACTCAGGTCTTTTCTGCTACCAAAATTCCACTCCAAGTCTCATCCTCATCCTAACTACAAACTCCCCCAATATTCTCTAACCTAACATTCTCCATTTTCTTTATATGAAGCATTCATAGTGACTTATACTGGATTGCTGTTTACTTATTTTTCTGCTCCTACTACCACAGCCTACCCTCTCGACTTGTACACTCAGTATCTAACTCCCTGGTGTGTATTTGGTATTTAATAATAAATTATCAAGGTCAAAACATTTACAGTAATCTCACTGAGAAGATCCCAAAGTACCAAATCACTATACTGTTGACCCTTGAACAATGCAAGGGGTAAAGGCATTGACGGCTATGCAGTCGAAAACCCACATGTAACTTTTGAATCCCTAAAACCTTAACTACTAATCTCCTACTGATTTTCCTACTTTACAAGCAATTCAACTTAAAAATATGAAAAGTATATATTAAAAACCAGAACATTTAAATAGAAGTCCTTATACATGCTCTCTAGATCTAATCTACCTCTTAATCTTCATTTGGCCATTAACTCTGTAAACTGAGCACGTAAGGTCAGAGTAAATATAACAAAATGCTGACCTTACCATTAATATAAAGTCAATTAACATATGTTTTCTATGCTCTATGTATTACATACTGTATTCTTACAATATAAACTAAAAAAGAGGTTATTAAGAAGATCATAAGGCATGGGCACTAGGTGGCTCTGTCAGTTAAAGATCAGGCTCTTGACTTCGGCTCAGGTCATGATCTTACAGTTCGTGGGTTCGAGCCCCATATAAGGCTTTGTGCTGGTAGTGGGGAGCCTGCTTAAAATTCTCTCCACCCACCCCCCCACACACATACACACTCACAACTCACGTTCTCGGTCCTCTCTCTCTCTCTCTCTCGCAAAATAAACAATTAAAAAAAGAAAATCATAAGAGAAAAACATTTACAGGATGGTACTATATTTACTGAAAAAAATCTATGTGTAAGTGGACTCCCACAATACAAACCCATCTTGTTCAAGGGTCAAATGTATACCTACCTATATGATGTCTCTAATAATAGATTAGTGAAAGGTAACATACCCCAAATGAGAAAATTAAATGCCCATTCTAACTTTCCCATTCTTTTCTTGACACTACTGCCATTTTATTGTCCTTCAAAAATCTTCACATTTCAAAATAGTATTCTTTTTAGAAAAAATTTTTAACGTTTATTTATTTTTGAAAGAGAGTCAGAGATACAGCATGAGTGGGGGAAGGGTGAAGAGAAAGGGAGACACAGGTTGTGAAGCAGGCTCCAGGCTCTGAGCTGTCAGCACAGAGCCCGCTGCAGGACTCAAACTCACAGACCTTAAGATTATGACCTGACCCGAAGTTGGACACTCAACAGGCTAAGCCACCCAGGTACCCCTAAAGAAAGTATTCTCAGGGCACCTGGAAGGCTTAGCCCATTAGGTGCCAAACTCAGGCTCAGGTCGTGATCTCACAGTTCATGAGTTCAAGTCCCGAATTGGGATCTCTGTTACAAGGACAGAGCCTGCTTTGGGTTTTCTGTCTCCGTCTCCCACTCCCTCTCCCTCATCCTCTCTCTCAAAAATAAACAAACATTTAAAAAAAATATATCAGGGAGCCTAGGGGGGGTCAGTTGAATAAGCGTTCGACTTCAGCTGAGGTCATGATCTCACAGTCTGTGGGTTCAAGCCCCGCATCAGGCTTTGTGCTGACAGCTCAGAGCCTGGAGCCTGCTTCAGATTGTGTCTCCCTCTCTCTCTGCCCCCTCCCTGCTCATGCTCTGTCTCTCTCTGTCTCTCAAAAATAATTACACGTTAAAAATTTTGAAAAACAGTATCCTCAATATTGAGTTAGTCACTAAATACCACTGTGATCATATTGTCTTATACTTCTATAGCACCTTTTACAGTTTACAGAGAGTTACCACATTTGTTCATTACACATAACCAAGAGGTGGGTATTAGTACCATTTTTATGAATGAGGTCATTGACATTCAAACATGTTAAACAAGTTTTTCCAAAATTCCACAGCTAGGAAGTGACGGAACCAGCAGGCTAGCCTGTCTTTTGACTTCAAATACAGTGCTTATAGCATTGTGCAGCTGCTGCCTGTATCTAAGAGATCAGGCCCTTTGGACCTTTTTCCATAGTTGTCACCTCAGAATAGGTCATCGTTACTTTACTTAGATGACTACAAGTATGGCCACCATGTGATTTTAACTATATCCAAAATGGTTTGTACTTATTATAGCACTCCTAAATCAAACTGTTGTTATCATACTCCCAACGCTCCTTGTAGATCTACCTGACCATCCAAACGTAATCTCTTCAAGTCCCCGGCCTTATCTTTTCAAGTTTCAAGTGGTAAAAGTGATGGTACTCCAGACACTCTCTGGATTGCAACAGGAGTTGGACACATCCATATCCACCACAGAATCATACAATTGGCCATACGTCGACCTAGAGGAATTCTTTAGTTTTATAGATCACTTCACTTCAAAACCCAAACGAATTCCCTCTAAGCCTTAGTTTTCTGTGCTACTACTACCCAACTTTGCTTAAGTTACGTTTGCAAAGGAGCAGAACTATACTATGCTGTATTTTCATAATAAACACACAATTATTTTATCAACTATAAGTAAAAATATAAGGAAATAGTTTCTATGGGCAAATGCAGAGATGACCGAGTAAAATCAAGCATCTCTTTCACGTGTTAATATCACTCAATGCTTATTTTTAAAGAGAAGAGGAAGACAGTACCTCGGAACTCCAAGGTGAGTCTACATCTCCATCTTCTCCTAATCCCAATGTTGACATCATATCTACAAAATAGAGTCACAGATAAGTTAATGAAAACATGTATTACTATGAATTTTAAACACATATATAAGTCAACATCCATTGATGAATATTTCAATAAAATGAAAGCAATAAGCAGAAAAGATTTTCAAGAGGTTGAAATCTTCCAGAAGAAAAAGGTGGTAGTACTTGGGATACTTATCTAGAAAGACAGCAACAGAAAAATATCTTCAAGAAATAGATAATATATGTGGATCTACATACTATCAGAATTTTTACACTAGCATTTCATCAAAGGGAAAAACTCACAGATATTCACTAACTTACCACTTCTAGTATTTTTCTGTGCTCCATGAGCAGAATTCAAATTGTGATTAACTGCTTGCTCCTGGGGAGCATTTTCATTTATAATCTCATTTAACTTTTCGTCAACTGCTGACTTTGCTGTTCCTTTCTATAAAAACAACATGAAACAAAAACCCAACTTCAGAAAACATCACATCAATTCATTTGCTAAGGGACTCCCCCACTGAGAAGGACAAATACAGACTGGATCTGTTCAAGTCATAGGCACTCTCCTGGGAGAAGCTGGAAACCTAAGGGAAAGACGGAGTCTGTTTTAGATGCTAGTAGGAGTAGAGATGCACGAAGACAAGTAAGAACAGAAAACTACCATCCACGAGTTTTACGAGCGAAGTGAATAAAGTACGGTGAAGGCACAAACTAGAAAACAGTTGCATTGGGGACGCTCAGGAAATGCTGAGGAAACAGGGCTATCTTGAAAAACAGACAAGGTGCACAGGGATGGTGTCCAGGGCATTCTAGAAAGGGTAGAATGAGCAAAAGGATGAAGTAGGAGATGATCTAGTAAGTGACAACACCTATGGAATATGGCAAAACTGGAACATAGTTATTGGGAATGGGATAGAAAGATATTACTGGAACATCAGGACTAAACCAAAAAAAGATAAGTGTTATGCTAGAATATGAACCCTCTCCTTCACATAATGGGGATCTATTAAATAGGCAGAGGAGTGACGTCATCCCAAATATGTTTTAGAAAGGTCACTCAGGCAGCACTGTAAAATGAACATAAAGGAAGCAAAACTAGAAGAGTATTTCAAAATGATAGGTGACAGAGTGAATTACAGTAATAAGATATGATAACTGGTATGGAGGGACAAAATACTGAATGCGGTGAGTGACTGGATGTGGCGATTTCAGGGAGGTTTAGAGTCCAGAACATTTACTGTTTCACTGCTGCTTCTTATTAGGAAAGGGAAAAAAATGACAGAGCAGAATACAGAGTCAGGAAAGAGGAAAGGGTCAGAAACGATGTCATCAAACCAGGACATATTAAATTTGAAGTCCTTGGGGGACTTAAGAAGAGACTTCTAGGGCTGCCTAGATGGCTCAGTCAGTTAAATATCTGACTCTTTATTTCAGCACAGGTCATGATCTCGCAGTTCATGGGTTCAAGCCCCACCCCCATGTGGTTTTGTGATGACAGTGCAGGGCCTGCTTGGGATAATCTCTCTCCCTCTGTCTCTCTGCCCTTCTTGCGCACTCTCTCTCAAAATAACAAATGAATAAACGTTAAAAAAAAAGGGGGGGGAGGAACGGATGATAGGCACTGAGGAGGGCACTTGTTGGAATGAGCACTGGGGTTATATACAAGTGATGAATAATGGGAATCTACTCCTAAGCAGCGACTACACTGTCTATACACTGTATATGAGCTAGGTTGACAATAAATTGTAAACAAATTGAAATAAATGATAAATAAATAATAATCATAATAAAAGCAGTGGAGGGGCACCTGGATGGCTCACTTAGTTAAGCATCTGACTTTAGCTCAGGCCATGATCTCTTGGTTCATGAGTTCAAGCCCTGCATCAGGCTCGCTGTCAGCACAGAGCTTTCTTTGGAACTTCTGTCCCCCTTTCTATATCTCTCCCCTTCTTGCTCACTTTCTCACTCTAAAAAATAAATAAACATTAAAAAATATTTTTAAAAAATAAAAATAAAAAAATTATAATAAAAGCAGGGGAAAAACATAGGATTCAATATTTCAAGCCTATATTTCAACACTAGTTTTAAAGACGTAAAATATATTTTACTAATATAGACAAATATTCATTTCTGTAACGAATGGCATTAAGGTTCATAAAAAGATTTAACCATAAAACATCAACTCAAGATTTATGAAGAATATTCCTTTTTAAAAATTAACCTTGGGGTGCCTGGGTGGTTCAGGCAGTTGAGCGTCTTAACTCTGGGTTTCAGCTCCTGTCACCATCCATCCCAAGGTCGTGGGATCAAGCCCTGCTTCAGGCTCCACACTAAGCATGGTGTTGGCTTATGAGTCCTATTCTCTCTCACTCGCTCTCAAAAATAAACATTAAAAGAAATAATAAAACAAAGAAATAAAGATTCACCTTAAAGGAAAAGATTCAAATTACAGAAGAGAAATACAGGATTATAGAATTTTGAGCCATCTGTAGGTACTAACAGGATGTAGAAGACAAATATAAAACTCAATATTAAAGTTCACATAGTTTTCTTATTCCACCGTGGAAAGTATATTAGTAGCTCTCATTTCCTATTTACACCATAAAGGATGGTGGGTAAGGACGTGAGAAAGAATCGCTCATGAAGGAACTACTACAATTATGATCATCCAATTTCAAGATTTGAAAGTCTCCAAATACACATATGATTATCAAACAGGACTCAAAATTCACATGAGGACAGAAGAAAGGGACGAAAAACAAGTCAACTTACTTCTATTTCTGAGTTTTAGATATGAAAGAATTTACATGCTAAATTGGACAACTATGAATACTAAAGGTTCCTGAGAATAATATAAAATGTATCGTGGGATGCCTCGGTGGCTCAGTCGCCTAGCATCTGCCTTTGGTTCAGGTGATGATCTTATGGTTCGTAAGTTTGAGCCCGGCATCAGGTTCTGTAATGACAGCTCAGACCCTGGAACCTGCTTCGAATTCTGCGTTCTCCCTCTCTCTCTGCCCTTCCCCCACTCAAGCTCCATCTCTCTCAAAAATAAATATTTTTTAATGTAGCTATTGTTGGAGATATTCATAGAAGTCAAAATCATCTACAAATCATTTTGTCCATTCTACTGGCAACCTTTGATGCCTGAGATTTTGACATGACAAACAGTTCATATTAGAAGACAACTTCTAAATATTAAGTGTGTTCATTGGGTATGTGTGTGATGTGTTTATTATATGCAGATACATATTAAAACAAGAGGGGTACCTAGGTGTCTCTCCTGGTTAAGCATCCAACTTGATTTTGGCTAAGGCTACTCAAGCTCTATGTGAGGCTCTACACTGACAGCACAACCCTCTCTCTCTATCTACCTCTCTCTCTTTCTGCCTCCCTCTCTCTCTCAAATAAACATTTAAAAAATTAAAACAACAAATCAGAATGAAGAAAAATTTTATATATACACACACACACATATATATATTTTTTTTTTTTTTCTAAGAGTGTTGCAGCTTAAGTGGCACCTGGATGGCTCAGTCACTTAAGCCTCCGACTCGGATTTTGACTCAGGTTGTCACCTCTCAGTTTGTGAATGTGGGCTCTGCATCGAGCTCCGTGCTGGAAATGAAGAGCCTGTTTGGGATTCTCTCCTTATTCCCTCTCTCTCTCTGCCCCTACCCTGCTTGCTCTCTCTCGCAAAATAAATAAACTTAAAAAAAAAAGGAGTGTTGCAGCTTAAATTTTATTTTTTCATTTAGTTCGTAAAGAAGCTTATTCACATAATCAGAAATCTCAATGAATGGAAAGAATAAGCATTCATTTTCTCTCTTTATTCTCAAAAAGACCTAAAATATACCAAGATGACACCACACAGCTAGTAAAGGTAGAAACCACAGGAAAAACACTAGCCAACAATTGAAAATTCAGAATAAATATGGTAAACACAGGTTTTGCTAAATTAAGTATAAGATATCACCCTTCATTAAACTTAAAAGTAAGGATAAACTTTTCTTCCGGTTCTTTACAAAAATCAGCTGTAACTCATTCAGAAAAGTCTAGGCATGTTTTGTTTTACTACCTGGCTTTCTTTTCCCATATTTTATGATATAAAGAGTATCTGCTCTCCCTTAATCCCACTACTGCTATTGTGTTTTTATACTAATTTCTCTCAAGGCTTCATACTTTCAATTCATCTTACCCCCTCCCTCTTAAATGAATTCTTCCCCTTCTTTCCCCCTCCTCATCTTCCTATTCATCTGGCTGTTCTTTCCTGTCGCCTTCTAATCCTTCGCTTCCCTAATGGCATACCTAAGCATCGTTTACTCCCACCAATCTTTACACATCTCAGTCCTGTACCTTTCTCTCTGTTGTTAGTACACTGCTTTCTCTTATGATCTTGAGGACTTCCATTTCTTCCTAAGATCCTTTTCATCATTATAAGGATCAAAAGGATGGTATGGGGGGAAAAATGTATAAAACGAAACAACTTACCCCTGCAAGACCAAAGACAGCTGAAGGCGAGAGAGAAGGTTTTCCAAGAGACAGAGATGATGGAAAAGCAGGATGAGAACAGTCATAATCTCTGACTGGTGGTTTGGAAAGAGTTTCTGCCACATCTTCATGTTTAGAATCAGAATTCTTGTCCTCAGGTCTCACAGTGCCACATTTTGCTTCTGCTTCATAGAAAAAGTAAAGAGTAAGTGAAAATATCTGTAATTTTAAATGAGTGAGTAACACAAGATTGGACAAGAATTAGGGAATAATACAAGTCTTCAAATAGCTTACTGTTTTTCATGTGTTGCTGAGAAGCAAGCATTAGCTCTCTTAGGTTTGGTTTCGGGACATTCTAGAAAAAATTAATAGCTTTAAGATTCATAAGTATCAAATTTGATAAAACAATCATTATATTCACCATTACCGAATGACCACCATTACACAAGGAACACAGGCTTTGGAATCATTCAAATGTAGATTCAAATCTCAGTTCTGCCATTTGCTATTCCCAGTCTACGTGTTCTCATGGGGTGAGGATTATGAGAGATTTCACTGGAAGCCTCAAAATGTTACTCTCCTTACCTGTAACTGATTAGTGTACAAATACTTTACCAAAATAACCAAAAAGAAAAATTTATCCCCGGGTAATTGAAAACATATTGAAAAAACACACACGAAGAAATCTGAATTGTTTCCTTTTGAAATAGTTGCCTAATTTATATTTGCATGAATTATCTCTGTAAAAGAAAATATAAAAACTTACTTTTTAGTAGTATCACATGTAGATAAGTTGGGAACTGTAAACAGTTTAAGTTGCTTCTGTTTGTCAAAACAGGAAAGACAAAAATGACTGTTTCAATTAGCTCCTTCTGGGGTGCCTGGGTGGCTCCGTCAGTTAAGTGACCGACTCTGGAGTTCAGCTCAGGTCATGATGTCTCCCGGTTAGTGGGGTTCGAGCCCCATGTTGGGCTCTGGGCTGACAGCGCAGAGCGTCCTTGGGATTCTCTTCCTCCCCCTCTCTCTGTCCCTCCCTACTAGCACTTGCTCATTCTCTCTCTCTCCAAAAGAAGTAAAAACATTACAAAAAGATTCAGTTCAGCTCCTTCCAAGAAACGAAAAGTGAGTAATAAACTCTGTGGGGCAATGATTCATGGATGAAAACCATACACAGACAATAGAATGCTGTAACCAATGGCAATATGCTGACAATGGAGCCAGAAAGAGAGGTACTAAAAGAACAGAACTAAAGAAATGTTTTCTGCAAGGAAAAATTAGGGTAGGGGTAAACCACTAAAAAAAGCACCGCGGAGGGCACCTGGGTGGCTCAGTCAGTTAAGTGTCCAGCTTCAGCTTAGGTCAAGATCTCGCAGTTTGTGGGTTTGTGGGGTTTGTTGGGCTCTGTGTTGATAGCTCAGGGTCTGGAGCCTGCTTTGGCTTCTGTGTTTCCCTATGTCTCTGCCTCTACTCCGCTTGCACTTTGTCTCTCTTTCCCTCCAAAAATAAAAAAATATATTAAAAAATTTTAAAAATAGCATGGGGGGAAGAAGAGGAAAAGAGAAAAAGACATGACCAATCATCAAGAATGAGCTTAACACAAGGAAAAAAAGGAAAAATGTAAGCAAAATAAGGTACGTGAAAAAAAATATATATATGTATCTTTAGGGATACACTATGAACAGGATTCTCTTCGAAATTTTATTAATTATATACTATATTAGATACATAAAACAGAGGCTTTCATTCACAGTATATACATAATAATACCGACTTTTATCACTCTACAATTATCTGTTTATAAATACTGTAATGAAGAATTTAATTTGTTCACTCTAAAATAAATACTTCAATAAGTGGCTATCTATCACTCCTAAAAGCTATAAATTATTGCTAGACGAACAAAAATCAGAAAAAGACATGTTCCTAACACATCAACTTTAAATACAGAAAAAGAACTGGTTACGAGAATTCTATGAAGACACGTATACCACATTCAAAGGATGTATCTGATGGCATACAGATGGTTTTAGGGAAAAAAGCTGAGGAATTCTTATCTACAATTCTAAGTTCACAATTGGAGGATACTAAAAAGTATACTATAACCTACTTTCTTATTGAACTCCTGATTTCCTCACTATAATTCATTTGCGTTTATAAATCCTAAACATTAAAAAGGAAAATAAATTTAAGCCATATCTTTAAAATTCACATATTTAATTAGGATATATTATGCATATTATATTACTTACAAATTCCATTAGACAGAATTCCATCGCTCTGCTCATTTATTCCCTTTCAAAAAATAGTAAATTGCTTCTTCCAAGCAAGACTTTCTTCTAGGTGCTCCAGGATATACACAATAATGTTTCCTAACAGCCAGGAGCTTAAAATGATTTAGGGGCTTGCAAATGAGTATTTAGATACATATAAAATGCTGAAACTTTAAAGTTTAGAATGTGATATAAGCTATGAGTAGATATTTTAAAAAACTATAATATGAAAAACTTCTGACCTTGGAAATTTTACAACAGGGCTATGAAGAGCCTCTGCTAATAAAGCTGACTCATATTTTAAGCCAAATATGTATTCTTCAGTGAGATGCAGAATTTTAATGATATTCTTAATGGAATAATTTCAAAAATATAGTGAAATACCTTTGTAACATAAATTTGGAGAAACAATTTAAATGTCTACATTTCTACAATGTCTAATATTATTTTAGCCAAAATGTACAACAAAGGATAGAGAAAAAGGAAAGAAAACTATATACTATCATAATAAAAAGTGCCCAAGAAAAAAAACCTACAGTAGATAATTGGATTCACTAAAGGTTTCACTGATGCATGAGTATTATAAAAGTCAAACTATGGTATAATTTCAAACTCACAGTAAGAAACCTTATCCTTAACTGAATGTCATATTTCCTCCATTGTGGGAGAGCTTTTCCCAATATAATTTTCCTGTCATTATAGAGTTTCCAGCCCATTGTTATACAGCCTCTACTTCTAGTATTTACCAAAGTAAAACAAAACAAAAAATTCCACTGGTCCTATTTCTATAGAGTGGTTTCTTCTAGCTAATTTTCCATTACAAACATAAAAGGATAATAAACAGGCTTCTGTTAAGCTTTAAGGGTAAATAATATTGAAAACGAAATTTAGAGCAGGAAAATTAGTTTCACAAGAGAGTGCTTTACCTTGGCACCAAAATTGTAGTCTTCACTATCTGATGTAGGCCATGAATCATCAACATCAGATTTTTTGGAAAGCCTTTAGAGCAAAAATAGACAACAAAAACAAGTTCATTTTTTAAAAAAAAAAAAAATTAAGTTAGCTATCTGTTTATTAAATGAAGTCTCTTGATACTATTAAAATTTGGCCTCTGGTTTTTAATTAAGATTCTACTTTAATGCCAGTATCCTTAATATTGAGTGTGCTATCAGTTTCAGTTGTACAATAGAGTGATTCCGCAATGCCGTCCTCACGCAGTGCTCATCTTCACAAGTGCACTCCTTCATCCCCATCACCTATTTGCCCCTCCCACCACTCAACTCCCCTCTGGTAACCTTCTGTTTGTTCTCTGTAGTGAGGAAAGCCCGTTTCTTGCTTTGTCTCTCCCTTTCTTCCCTTTGATCATTTGCTATTTCTTAAACTCTACATGAGTAAAATCATATGGTATTTGTCTTTCTCTGACGTTACTTAGCATAAGTGGCAAGATTTCACCGTTTCATGGTTGAATAATATTGCATTGTGCACACACACACACTTGTGACTTCTCCTTTATCCATTCATCAATGGACACTCGTGCTGGCTATTGTAAATAATGCGGAAGTAAACACAGGGGTGCATGTATTCCATTGAATTCATGCCTTTGTATTTTTTTGGATAGTATCCAGGAGTGTAATCACTGGATCATAAGACAGTTCTAGGTTTAATTTTTTGTGGAACCTCCATACTCTTCTCCACAGTGGTTGCACCCATTTGTATTTCAACGGACAGTGCAAGAGGTTTCCTTTTTCTCCACATCCTCGTGAACTCTTGCTTCTTGTGTTTTGGAGTTTAGCCATTGTGACAGGAGTGAGGTGGTATCTCATTGCAGATATGAGGAGTAAATTTTCATGTGTGTGTTGACCATCTGTATGTTGTCTTTAGGAACATGTCTGTCTATGTCTCCTGCTTGTTTTTAAACTGGGCTTTTTTGGGGCGCCTGGGTGGCTTAGTCGGTTAAGCGTCCACTTTCACTTAGGTCATGATCTCGTGGTTCATGGGTTCGAGCCCCGCATCGGGCTCTGTGCTGACTGCCAGCTCGGAGCCTGGAGCCTATTTCAGAGTCTGTATCTCCCTCTCTCTCTGACCCTCCCCTGCTCACGCTCTCTCTCTCCTAGAAATCAAAAAAAAAAAAAAAAAAAAAAAAAACTGGGCTTTTTTGTGGGGGAGGATGTTGAATTGTATCAATTCTTTATACATTTTGGATACTAACCCTTTCCTGGAGCTGTCATTTGCAAATATGTTCTCCCCTTCCATAGGTTGTCTTGTAGTTCTGAGGGTTTCCTTCACTGTGCAAAAGCTTTTTATTTTGATGTAGTCCCTAAAGTTTATTTTTGCTTTACTTCCCTTGCCTCCGGAGACTTAACGAGAACAATGTTGCTACAGCCGACGTCAGAGAAATGACTGCCTGTGCTGTCTTCAAGGATTTTTGTGGCTTCACGTCTCATATTTAAGTCTAATTCATTCTGAGTTTCTTTTTGTGTATGATCAAGACACCGGTCCAGGGTCATTCTTTTGCATGTGGCTGTCCAGTTTCCCCGACATCATTTGTTGAAGAGACTGCGTCTTCTCCCCTGGATATTCTCTCCTTGTGGGGAACAGACTTAGGAATCCCCCAGGCTTACACCAATGGGTTAACAAGGCATAGAGAAATAAAGCCACAGTATGCTCACACCCGCGTCTGGGTAAACATGATTGGTGCCTCGAGAATAGGACGGTGCAAGGGCACCCTGAGAACATTGTGGGCCTTTGCACCCCGAGAATAGGATGGTGCAAAGGCACCCCGAGAATAGGGAGGTGCTGGATACCAAAGATAGAGAGGGATGGGCAAAGGCCCAAGATAGGAACGGGAGCGAAGGCTCCCACTACAAAGGTATATGAGGTAAGCTAGATTAGACAGGCAGGGCAAAAGGGGCCCCCAATTTAGTATTATAGCAGAGAAGCTGCTTTTCCAGGAGAAGAGGGCCAAGCTAGGCAAAACAAGTAAATTGGACCATAGACCGCTGCGCTGCAGGCGAAGCAGCCCAGAGCTGACATGGTTAACAAGAGCAAAAGTGTCTTGTTAACCCTGGGGTAATTTCCCATACCTGTCTTCTCCCCTAGGCTAGCTAAGACACACAGACAGGGCGCCTCCTATCTGCCGTTAATAACCATCTACCTATCTGCCCATCGTCGGGATTTTGGTTTCTATTGACCCAAGCCCCAAACACTGTATATCTTCAAATGTTGCCCCCCCTTTCCCTCATGTCCATAAATTAATGGTTCACAGTTTGTCTTTTTGTGCATGCGCATCACATTTGTAAGCCTTCTGATCACAATAAATACGGGGCAAGGACCCTTATTTGGGGTTCTTGTCTTTCCCGGACATTAGCCATTCTCTCTCTCCTATTTTTTAATCCTGCCTGCTGCTCTCTTGTTAAGACAAGAGAGAACTTTAGACCCAGAGTCTATGACATTTCCTGTCTGTTCAAGATTAATGGGCCATACAGTTGTGGATTTACTTTTGGGTTTTCTGTTCTAGTCCACTGATCCATGTGACTATTGGTATGCCAATACCATCCTGTTGTAATTAGGACAGCTTTGTGCTAGAACTTGAAATCTGAAATTGTGATCCCTCTGGGTTTTTCTCTTTCAATATTGCTGTGGCCATTCAAGGGTTTTTCTCTTTCAATATTGCTGTGGCCATTCAAGGTCTTTTGTGGTTCTGTACAAATTTGAGGATCGTATGTCTAGCTAAGTGAAAAATGCTCTTGGGATTCTGCTAGGGATTGCATTAACTCTGTAGATTGCTTCGGGTAGCATAGACATTTTAAAAATATGTATTCTTCTAATCTATGAACATGGAATGTCTATTTCTTTGTGTCACTTTCCATTTCTTTCATCAGTGTTTTAGAGTTTCCAGAGTACAAGTCTTTCAAAATTTGGTCCCTGTTTTTTTTTTTTTTTTTTTACAAATAGTTTATTGTCAAGTTGGTTTCCATATAACACCCAGTGCTCATCCCCACAAGTGCCCTTCTCCATACCCCAATGTTCATAGAAGCACTCTGAACAATAGCCAAAACATGGAAAGAGCCTAAGTGTCCATCAACGGACGAATGGATCAAGAAGATGTGGTTTATCTATACCATGGACTACTACACGGCAATGAGAAACAATGAAATCTGGCCATGTGCAGCAACATGGATGGACCATGAGGGTGTTATGCTTAGCGAAGTAAGTCAGGCAGAGAAGGACAAATATCATATGTGTGCACGTATAGGAGGATTATGAGGAACTTAACGGAGGACAATGGGGGAGAATAAGGGGGGAAATGGTGGGGGAAAGGTAGAGAAGCAAACCATGAGACACTCTTAAATGGAGATGGTCCCTGTTTTAAAAAAGCTTTTAGGGGCGCCTGGGTGGGTCAGTCGATTAAGTGTCCGACTTCAGCTCAGGTCATGATCTTGCAGTTCGTGGGTTAGAGCCCCGCGTCGGGCTCTGTGCTGACAGCTCAGAGCCTGGAGCCTGCTTCGTGGGTTAGAGCCCCGCGTCGGGCTCTGTGCTGACAGCTCAGAGCCTGGAGCCTGCTTCAGATTCTGTGTCTCTCTCTCTCTGCCCCTCCCCCACTCATGCTCTGTCTCTTTCTCAAAAATTAAAAAATTAACTATAAAAAAATTAAAATAAAAAAGCTTTTAGTGATCTATTTTGCCTCCACCTCTTCTCACCTGTGAAATATCCAATAAAGACCCCTTCGTAGTTCCCATAACCAAGTGTGACAGGCCGGGAATTTTCTGAAATGTCTGAATATTAAATGTGTAAAAGTTACCACAATGACTTACTATCTCACATCTGTCAGAAGGGTTCAACTTCAATACACAAGAAACAACAAGTCTTGGTCAGAGAATGGGAAAAAACAGAACACTTGTGTACTGGCAAGGGCATGTAAACTGGTATAGCCACTGTCAAAAACAGTATGGAGGTTCCTCAAAATATTAAAACGAGAAATCCCATATGATCCAGCAATTCTGCTACTGGGTATTTATTTACCCAAAGAAAACGAAAATACTACTTTGAAAAGATATATGCACCCCTATCTTCATTGTAGCATTACTTACAATAGCCAAGATATGGGATCAACCCAAGTGTCCATCAATAGATGGATAACACACACACACACATGCACACACACACACACGCGCACGCACACACACACGCACACACACACACACTGGAATATTACTCAGGTGTAAAAGAGAAGGAGATCCTGTCATTTGCAACATCATGGATATACCTAGAGGGTATTATCCTAAGTAATATAAGTCAGTCAGAGAAAAGACAAATACTTTAAGATTTCACTTATAGGTAGAATCTAAAAAGGAACAAATATACAGAGAAAAAACAGAAACAGACCCGTAAATACAGAGAACTGATTGTTACCAGAAAGGAAGAGGAGGTGACAGATGGGCACAATGGGTGAAGGGGAGAGGGAAGTTCAGGTTTCCAGTTACAGAATAAGGAATTCACAGGCAACAAAGCTACCACACAGGGAACAGAGTCAATGGTATTATCATAGCATTATACATTCACAGATGGTAGCTACACTTATGATGAGAACAGTGTAACATATAGAGTTGTTGAATCACATATTCCATTGTGTGTCAAGTCTACCTCAGTTTAAGTAAATATACAAAAAGTAAAGAACACATTTCTATGTTACTAGTGAAAATACTATTCCAAGAGATTAAAAGATAAAAAAGTATAAACTCCAACTTTTTTCCTACAAAGGTCTTGCCTTATTTAGGTCCATACGAACTGGTACGACCTTAGAAACCTTCAGGGGCATTCAGATACCCAAGGAGAGAGACTTATAAAAATAGTCTCGGTAGTCATGCGCCTAATTTTCCCCGACACGCTGCCTGAAGAGTTTCTTTCCTAGGAGCTCCCACTCCTACATCACTCTTCGGCACGGCTCAGTGACTCTCTCCAACCTTCAAATCCTTAGCCTGTGAAGGCACAGACTCCTGAAACAAGAATGGGCACAAATGACCCAAGCGTAGGAGCTATGTCCTGCCCCTGGAGAACAAGCTGAATGGAGACTCAGTCATCCACACAGTCACCTCAAAGGAGGCATGTGATCAACTATCCAGATGACGCTCCGTTACTGATCTGACAGGCCAGTCCTACCCTGCCCAACCCTACCTGTACACGGGAAAGGCATCCCAGATTTAGGAAAAGAGGTGGAGTGAGGAGACAGCTGCCTTAAGCCATACATCTCTGTAGTTCAGAATCTCCACCCCGCTGTCACTTGGGAGGATCGAAGACATCCTCCGTAAGTTGGGGTGGAAGTAGATGATATCACTTTCCTACGTGCTGGAAAGAGACTCTTCCAGTAGCTCATATGATTTTAATATCTCTCAACAGAAAACCTGAAGTATGCTACTATCTTCAACTAAGCCAACAAATAAAAAAGCAGAAACTTGTTAAGGACCCTCTTGAACTCTCTCTTTTAATATGCCTTTTGAAACAAGTTCCAATATCCTGGGTGCTAAATTCCTGTACTGTATCTTTCTCTAACTTGTCATCAATCCCAATATTATGACACCTTCTGGAAAACTCTTATTCCCATCCAACTCAGTGTTGTTCTTATTGAAACCTGGTCTCCTCTGCTAATTTGATTCTTACCCTCCTTCACTGTGTTCACAAGACCTATTTCCCAGCTTCCTATTACTATTATTCACCTAGAAGATGGAAAAAAAAGAAAGAATCCTGAATTTAAATCTGATTTCTACCACTTCTCATATCCTAATAAGTCGCTTTAATCGCTTTGTTGACTTTCAAATTCTACACGGATACAAACATTCGGCAAGGGTAGTAAACATACGTTGAAGTACCAGAGGCCATTTGGATTAATTAATCTCCTTAAAACCTGAGATCCTGTGTGCTTTTGATTCTGCCTATAGAAAACTGCAGAGTACTTAGCTGGCAGAAGTGGAAAAAAATAATGGAATAAAAGAGATACCAAGAAAAGAAGAAGACAAAGTAAAAAAGTAAAAAAAGAGTATAGAAAAGCCATGAGGAAAAAAATCTACAGAAAGAGAAAAAGATGCATAGAACTAGTCAAGGGTACTAGCTCAGAGGGATAACCCGGCTGGGAAATAATGAAGCAAAGAATCATACAGAAATATCCTCTAAACACATGCTAAATTCAATTAACATGACATGGTCTAAGCCTAGATATCCTTCACTTACATAAAACTCATTCATCTCAAGGAGAGGAGATGTCACTACATCAAAGAACATGCCCGATTTGGTCTTGCTTATGGAAAAGCTATGATACCGTGGCCATAGCTAACTGAAATCCTCTCTACCATCTCTGATGGTAAAAGCAAGAGACTAGTTACAACTGCACTAATTACTCCTAGTTACCACTCGTTGTCAAATATATTAGGACAAATGCTTGGTCGAACCTGGTTTCTTAAGAAAACTCTAAATTAGAGTTAATACGTAACCAAAGATTACATTCTGAGTTTACCTTACTAGGATCTGTAGCTATAATTCCAGTGCTGCTGAGAAACACAAGAATGGATGTGGAAGCTACACAGGCTGACAGTCAAGCCATGAGACAACTACTCATTAACTATCGAATCACGGGTCGAGTAATCAACCTCTTTGAACCACAGTTGCCTAATTAATAAAAAGTAGGCTATCATAACACAGCTACTTTGCAAAGCTACATAATGAGTATAGAACTCAACAAATGTGAAGCATGTGATTTAGTGTCCTGCCCAGGGTAGAACACTCAACCAATGCTTCTTTTCTCTGCATTCCCATAGGTAACATATAATTATTTTATTTCTTTATTCATTTGTTTATTTATTTGAGAGTGTGCACGTACACATATATGAGCTGGTGAGTGATAGAGAGAGAGGGAGAAAGAAAGAGAAAGAAAGAGAGGGAGAGAGAGAGAGAGAGAGAGAGAGAATATCCCTTACAGGCTGACAGTGCAAATCCCAAAGTGGGGCTTGATCTCCCAAACCTGAGCTGAAATGAAGAGTAAGACACTTCACCAACTGAGCCACCCGGGTACCCCGATACACGTAATTTTTAAAAATCCATAAAAATCCTACCTGCTTCTTAAGGAGTCTTCCTCAGAACTCTCATCTGCTAGTAAGGAAAAATGTAAAATACATTTTAAATCAACAATAGAAAAAGATAGGAAGTTAAAAGTTTAAGACTAACGATTCATTAAAAAGTATTCCTTTGGAGACACACCTGGGAAACATACTAGAGTTAGTGGTAATTATACAGTTGGTAGGCTTAATGCACCAAGAAATCTTACTTTCTCCTCTATATTTACCAAAAGAAAGAATGGTTTCTATCAGCATTTGATACCTACATGTGAACTGATGTTTACAACGAACATACCTGACCCTACGACACTGGAGGAACTGGTGTCATTTGCAGAATAATGATCCTAAACGGACAACGTCGAACTTAAATAGCCTGATTTTTCTGGACTTGCACTACTCGGAGGAGTTAAAAGGGACTATACTTATTTTGCTGGAACACAGCAGAGCTTCCCCAGCTCTTCTGCAGACACTGCTCAGTTTAGGATACAACACCCCCTCACAAAGCTTCGTCTATAGCCATTGCACTTGGCAGTGTGGTCAAACAACAGCATACAGACTGTCTGCGGCCTTATTTCCAATTGCAAGGTAAGTATGAAAGATTGGTGATTCGACTTTTATAAAGGGATAACCTCTTGACACCGTCTCCTTTCATCGCTGGAGAGTTTATCTAGACCCACCTCATAGAGGAGGATGGTCCCAATGGTAGTGCTGTGTAGTAGTACGTGATGCCATGTTTCTCAACCCTCCCCATTCTGTGGCAACCTTCTATAGAAGTCATGGAAATATAGTAATATCTTGTTCTTTCATGGAAGGCTTATGTCATCAGACCCTACAGTGAGGAACCGAACACAAAACAAAACAATACAAAACAAAGCGCAAAGAAGATCCTTCAGGACTACACTCAATTACCTTGGAATTTTAATTTTTTAAACATTCAAAAAAGATATCCACTGTATGATTCTAACTAGATGACACTCTGGAAAAAGCAAGACTATGGAGGTAAGGGTTGGGGCAAAGGTAAGGATGAGTAGGCACCGCACAGAGGAACTTCAAGGTAGTGAAACTATTTCACATGACGCCACAATGGTGGATTCCCCTCTTTATACATTTGTTAAAACTCATAGAATGTCTAACACCAAGACTGAACACTAATGTAAATTAGAGACTTTGCAGGAAAAGGATGAGTTAGTGTAAATATAAAAATGTACCACCGTCAGGGTGCCTGGGTGCCTCAGTTGGTTAAGTGTCCAACTCTTGACCTCAGCTCAGGTTCTCACAGTTCATGGGATCAAGGCCTGCAATCAGGGTATGTTATATGGAGACTCTCTGTACTTTTGATTATACTTTTCTGTGTACTTGAACCTGCTCTAAAAAATAAGGCTTATTAAGTGTAAGCAAAACAAAGGTATCCATTGAAACTACTCTTGCTGTAGATCAAAGTAAGATACAGCCACCTTGAAAATTAAGATCAAGATCAAAGTAAAAGAAAATGGGTATTATCTCCCAAATTATAGGAAAATACAAAAAGGAAATAATTTTAATTGTCTACTTAGGCGAGAAAACAACTGAGAATATGATCAACAATCTGACAAGTATAAACATGGATTCAGTACAATATGAATCAAACCTGGGTTATCTATACAATTAAGAGTTTTAATTCTAATTTTAAATCAAAAAGCATTTGTTTCTTGAATCTAAGAATCCTAATGAAAGTGGAATCACGTAAGAAAAGATTACAATATCTAATACTGCCCTAGTAGTTTTTGTCCAAATACCTACTTAATATGGATGATGTCACTGAAGCCAGTACCATAGAATACCATCATATTGTTATGAAAATGAAATTTTAAGGCAACCCCAAACATTAAGTCAGGGCTGTAATTCCTATGCAGAAAAGATTTCATATAGCACACCAAAGCTTGCTACCCTTGGAACATCCTACATGAATGGGTGGCCCTTGGTTGTTCCCTGGGAACTTGGATGAAAGGAGAATTCCCACCATTAGCTAGGTGGTTAAGAGTGGCTCGCTGTGGCACCCTCCTGCACTGTTGGTGGGAATGCAAACTGGTGCACCCCTCTGGAAAACAGTGTGGAGGTTCCTCAGGAAAATAACAATAGAACTCCCCTAGGACCCAGCAATAGCACTGCTAGGAATTTACCCAAGGGATACAGAAATGCTGATGCATAGGAGCACATGTACCCCAGTGTTCATAGCAGCACTCTCAACAATAGCTAAACCATGGAAAGAGCCTAAGTGTCCATCAACAGATGAATGGATCAAGAAGATGTGGTTTATCTATAC